GAAGTGGGAGGTAGGGGGATGGGGTGGTGGTAGTTGGGGGAGAGGAGGGATGGGGAAAGGTGGACAGGGATCAAGAAGCAAAGAGAAAAGAAGGAGGAAGAAAAGAAAGAAATAAAAGAAGGAGAGTAAAAGAATGGGTGTTGGGAGAAAGGTGGGGTGGGGAAGATAAAATGAGGAGAGAAAAGATGCAGTGGAAGGTAGGGGAAGGAGAAGGGGTGAGTAAGAGGAGAGAGGACAGGTAGGGAGAGTGGGTTAGTAGAGGGAGAGGGGAGAAGGGAGTGATACCTGGCCCTTGGTGTCTCCAAGGGCACAAGGTACACCAAGACCAGGAGGGTCTTGGTCTTTGCTGCAGCAACCAGTTGGAGGAAAAAGGGGGCTGAGATCTTGATCAGCCCCCAGCAGCACTTCTGCAGATGTGTAGATGTAGGGTCTGCTGTGTGAGCAGACCCTCTCCACTGTAGAGCAGCCCCCTAAGCAGGGGGGTCTTCAGCCACGTGGCCGTGGAGATGGCCACGTGCACAGGCAGCAGCAGGCACGGGGGGGGGGTAAATAGCAACTTCGCTACTGCGCACTTCTCGCTGCCGGGGGGGGTAAATAGCCAGCACGACACCTCTTCAACACGAGTGTGCCGTGCTACAGAGCCATGGACACACTGTGGCGAGTGTGTTATGAGGCTGCTTACGCATGCAGCGTGGGCGCGTGGCGCTCACGCGCGTGCGGCCGCCTTGGCCTTGGCGCTTGTGCGCACGCGTCGTGATGCGGCTTCCTTTTTCGCCACGTGGAGTTCTCCTGCTGCAGCACCTTTTTTCGATGTTTTTCCCGCTTTTTTGCCCGAAAACGCCCCAAAAACAGCYRAAAACCCGRCTGTCGGGTTTTGCCGTATTTYCCTGCTGTGCAGTGTGGTGGGTGGGGGCGGGGACCGTTCCCGCTCCGATACCAATGTAGCSGACCCACCAGGTGTGGTGCTCCGCTAGTGACAGAGATGGAGATGGAGGAAGAAGGGGGAGCAAGATGGCACAAYGCAGCTCCCCACGCAAGACTCCAACGCACGTACTCCAAAATGTGCAAGTGAGGAATGAGCTGAAAACAGACAATGGCTGGGGTATACCCCAGCGGACTGACGGGACTGGACTGGACTGGACTGGCTGGTACCGACAGAGGTAMCGGCCTGGACTGGCCTACCCCGAATATAACACAGGCCTGTGAGAACAGGCCAAGGGGCTGGTCTCACAGGCCAACCCGAGGTCCGCTACAACCATCATCGGGCGCATTGTACCCTCCAATGTATCCGAGCTGGTTCTCAGGTCTGATACAGGCATGATTAGGGGGCATGGAGCCCGGAAATTGAAAGGATAGCTCCACCATGATCCTTACTTTCCCACACGTGAAGAGGCTGGCCCACGGCCGAGGTGCTTATGCCAACAACGACAGTTTTTTTTTTTTTTTTTTTTTTTTTTTGTGCCCGTGGCTGGCCTACGGCCGAGGTGCTTATGCCACGGCCGAGGTGTCTAGGCCACACCCAAGGCTGGGCAATGGCCGAGATGTCTTGGCCACGCCCATGGCTGGGCCACGGCCGGGAGGGCCACACCTGTGGCTGGGCCACGGCCGAGATGTCTAGGCCATGGCCGAGATGCCTAGGCCACACCCCTGGGGAAATGACCGGTACCGGTACGTCCCATTTTTGCCAATTGTT